GGAGGGGGAAGGGAGAGAGAGAAGAATGGGGATTTTTGAAATTCCCTTCAGGATGGTAGAACATAGGGTCACTTTGCTGTACCAGAGAAGATGTGCTAGGAAGACATGTTCAGCCAAGCATCCCCAACATCTGCTTCTCAACCAGAGACTATGACGTGAATGGCACTTCCAGGAGTTGGGCAGTGCACAACCTACACAACCTGCAAAACCTGCCTATCCTCAGTTTTGGATGATGGATGGAGATGTGCTTCAGAGTAAACCCAGCATATCTTTCCTCACTGTATTCAAGAAACAGAGTGAATGTGAAGTCTGCACATGGAGAGAGATGTAGATGTAGGATCGGCAGTCCTGGTGGCATTCCAGACTCTGGTGTTTATTTTCTTGGAGGCCTAGCTCCACTTTTGCCCTTCCCTTGTTTGATTACATAAGCTTTCAGTAATTTATTTTTTAGCACAAATTAGGTTTCGGTCACCAACACTCTTGGCTAAAAGCCAAGTCTTTTCCTTAACTTTTTCCAAATGGCCAGTTATTAAGGTAGTCCATGGAGAATCTGGCTGTTGTATGAGGCGCTGTACGCATTTTGCTTATCCAAGTCCACTTTCTCATCTACAACACTGGCCTACCTAACTGGGGATTCCAGAACACAGGGCACATTGAGCCCTTGGAAGAAATGTGTTGTGGTAGGTTTTGCTCTTGGCATTCAGACAACAGCCCATTCTCAGTGGCTTGGCCTTATTTGTCAGTGAGCCAATGTGTCTACTGATGTTAAAAACAAAGCAAAACTGCAGTACATTCTCGGCATCAGAAATAATGTGTATTTCAAGTGGGTCTTTTGCAAAGAAGTGATATGTTGGGGGCCTACCCCGGCAGGAGTAGTATGGTGGTTCAGTCTGTCTTGACCATGGCAGTGACCATGGCTCTCTCAGCAGTGGACATGGGGGCTTGAGGAGGCTGTAGGGAGAGGAGGAACCACCAGCCACTTGGTGCCACTAGCCATCAGGACAGAATAGTAGCAGCAAAAAGTGGGCAGGGTGACTGCTGAGTCACTCATCCATACAGTCATTCATTCATTCAATACATGGTAATTGAGCACTGCCATTCTGTGTGGCACTGTGCTAGTGAGTGTGCCCAACAAATGTCAACCACGGCTTGATTATGCAGAAAATTGAAAAAGGTAAAGGAAATTACAGCCCAGTGATTCCCAAAACAACTGTTTAGTTAACATATTTTCCTCATAAAGACACTTGAAAAGCTATACCACTTTTCTAACAACTCCTGTTTTTTGTTGTTTCTTTTTTGTTTAATGACTGGGAGGTAAAGAGATGAATGAGAGAAACCCACAGTGTCTGCCTTCCTCTACAGTCTAAGAAAATAATCCACCGATATCACATATTTGTCTCATAAACACAAGCATTACTTTATATTGGGAAGTCTAGTAGTATATCACAGTTGGAGGTCAAAAGTGTGGTAAATATCACGGTTTGGAGGGAGACAGATACTATGGGTTGAATAGTGTCCCTCCAAAAGATATGTTGAAGTCCTAACACCTGGTACCTAGGAATGTGACCTTACTTGAAAATAGTCTTCGCAGATGACATTAAGATGTAAATTTAGATGAGGTCATGTTGCAGTAGGGAGGACCCTCCATCAGTTATGACTGGTGTCCTTATAAGTGAGGAGAAAAACTTAAAGGAAAAGGTCGTGTGACAAAGGAGGCAGAGACTGGGGTGATGCAGCTGCAAGCCAAGGGGTGCCAAGTATGGCCGGCCACCACGGGAAGCTGGAAGAAGCAAGAAAGGTTTCTACCCAGAGCTTCAGAGGGAGCATGGTCCCGCTGACATGTTGATTTCAGGCTTCTAACCTCCAGTATAATGAGAGAATCAATTTATCGTTTTAAGCCATCTAGTTTGTAGTACTCTATGGCAGCCCTAGGAAACTAATACAAAAGATGTATTTAAATGTTTTGTCTACCACATTTCAGCTATATTAGCAAGTTACTTAATCTTTCTGAACCTAGTTTTTTCTACTTTGAAATAGACAAAATATGCAAAATGGTCCAGCTGCCGTGGAAAATAGTATGGTGGTTGATCGAAAAATTAAAAATAGAATTACCGGATGATTCGACAATCCTACGTCTGGGTATATTCTTGAAAAGTTGAAAGCTGGGCCTTAAAGAGATATTTGTTCACCCATGTTCATAGCAGCACCATTCACAATAGCCAAAAGGTGGAAGCAACTCAAGTGTCCATCAATGGGTGAATGGATAAACGAAATGTGGTCTACACACAAATTGGAGTATTATTCAGCCTTCAAAAGGAAGAAAATTCTTATATATACTACAACATGAAAGAACCCTGATGACATTATGCGAAACAAGCCAGTTACCAAAAGACAAATACACTGTGATTTCACTCATAGGCGGTTCCAAGAGTAGACAAATTCAGAGAAAGAAAGTAGAATGGTGGTTGCTAGGGACTGAAGGAAGGGAAGCATGGGGAGTTGTTTAAAGGGTACTGGGTTTCAATTTTGCAAGATGAAAAGAATTCTGGAGATAGCTTGCACAACAGTGTAAATGTATTGGACATTGAACTGAATATTCAAAGATGGTTGAGATGGTAAGTTTTATGTGTATTTTATTACAATTAACTTTTTTTAATAGGTAAAATAATGCATTGAAAATAATATAGTGTCAAAAGTGATTTTTTAAATGGTCATCGATTTATAGTAAGCTGGTTTAATAAATGTTAGCTATCATCATCATTTTATAAAAATTAATATTCTTTCATAACTTTAAAAAATCTTCGAATTCTAAAAATAGAATATACCCTGTAAACCATCAGTCGATATCATACATAATGGTAAAATCATAGAAACAGTCTCCTATTTTTATCCTGGAAGTCCAAGATAAATAGCCAGGGATGTCTGATGTCCTTGGTCAGGAAAACCCAAAGTCTTAGAAGTGAAGAACTGATGTGGTCAGCTGGCATGGTGAAAGATAATGAGCCCAAGTCACATATTGTTGTCCTGAAATGCCCATGTATTCAGACAAGAAAGTTAACAATTCTCAAGTCACAAATGTCTCAGTTGTTTAGTTAACAAAGGAGGTCCAAAGTTGTCGTTCAGGGAAGCCTGAGTTAATTAATCATTCAGATTCATTAGTCAAGAAGGTTGATTCAAGGTCATCCACCATGGGTAGAAAAAAGGTCCAACGTCATTGCTGAGGTTATCAGTCTTTAGCTGGGACTATGGTTCCCCAGGTTCGAGTGCTGCCAGTTTCTGAAGGGAGAGGGCCACCCCTTCTCATGCCTGTCCCCATGGCAGAGGCCTGAGCCATTTATACCTCCATTGAGTCCACATTGATCTTCTCTCTATAACCAACGGTCTTCAGCCCAGAACAATAATGAACCAGAAGCAAAACTGGTAATAGAGAGGCTGTGGGGGTCAGAGGACTCAGCTAGGAGTCCCAGGGAGAGGGAGGTACTGAGACCTAGGTGGGATCTGACTCTGATAGGAAAACCCTCTATATCATCTCAGTATGTCAGAGCAGGCAGTGCGGCCTTGGGGCTGCTAGAGACTCCAAAATAGGTCAAGACTAGGCTGTGAGGCAGCTCAAGAAGAGCCTGTCCTGCCCGAGAGGACCCAGGGGGCTGGACTGGTCAGGGCTTCCATCAGGCCTCAGTTTTAATCTGGAGGAACCCAAGTCTATTCCTTCTGAAAGATATAGTAACAGAGGAGCAGGAAGAAGCCAAGGAGGATGACGGTCAGGTACAGCAAGATCATCAGCATGGTGCTCATTCTTAGTGCAGGGACAGGGCCTGGAGCTTCTGCAGGCTTCACAGGGTCAGTTGCTGACTTCTGTCCTAGACCCTGGGTCTAGCTTAGACTCCTTGGAATAATCTATCCAGCCAGCTGTTCCTCCTCCCCAAAGGAAAGTGCTCCAGGCCACAGGGATCTCTCAGCCACTGTGAGGTCACAAATTCTAGACTGATGGAGTGTTGTCCTCCTAGCTACAGCCCAATGTTTTATTAATGCGACTGGTGTTTTGAAAGCAGTAGTCCTGGTATGTAATCATAATTATTGTTTCTTGCCTGTCCCTTTAGACTTGCTAAGTGGAAGTATCTTTTCTCTGTCCTTAGAAAAATATCAAGCAGGCCTCATAGCTTTTCTGATCATTCTTAGGTAATAAGTCTCGTAAACACTAAAAATGAGAAACATAGTTTCCATTCAATTATTTTAAATGTCTAGTCTAATGTATTAATTGCATTTTCAATGATCATTTATAAGTAGAACTTCTTTCTGCCAGCTTGGGCCAAGCATCCACTGAAAAGGGATGGGAGTCTTCTCTCTTATCCAAATTGCCAGGTTACTGCTCACTCCCCCACTTCCAATACCTCTAGGATTCTAACAGATGGACTAGAGAATAAGGTGTAGGCGGGGAGACCTCTCTAGGTTGGGTGTGTATTTAATGCTGAGTCTCTCTCCCTCCTCTCTCTCCTTCCCCATCCTCTACCCCACCTCTATTTCAGGGCTTTTTGTGAGTTTTTGTGAGGCCTTCTTCTGCCTGGTGCCTTTTGTCTGAACCCCTAGTAATATGAACAGGCCACTTCTTGGGGCTCTCTCACCCAGGTCTTTTCTTGGACAGGACCTCTTGGATAGGAGGCAAACATTCCTACCAAAGACTAAACCTTTGTCCAAGGAGTGGGTTGGGCACCGTTCACTTATTACAGTATTGTGATTTATAAGAAATATGTATTTGGTCATTGAGATGACCAACATGTATTTCTCTTATATAGTCTTCCACCAGGTCTCCTTACTCACATCTTTGGAATTTCCTAAGTGTTGAGAGAGATAAAGGTGTCTTTTTTATGTAAATGAGGTGACTTTTAGAAGCACCTAAGGTTGGGTGCTTTTTGCCAAGAGAATCAATCATGTGATTCCAGGGTTTAAGTTGTTAATCCCACCCCAGACCTCTGACCTCTGGGAGGAGAGATGGGCTGAAGATTGAATCAATTACCAACTGGCCAATGGTTTGATTTAATCAGTCATGCATATGTAAAGAAGTCTCTATAAAAACCCAAGAGGACAGGGTTCGGGGAGCTTGCTCTTAGGATGCCCCAGGTTCAAGGATAAGGGGCGTGGAAGGTACATATTCTCAGCCTCTTGCTTGCTGCTTCTCTTTTGGCTCCAAAGGGCTGACCAAAACCAGATGGCCTTAGATGTGTGCTGATGAACGCAGCAGCCACGTGTGTCTACAGAGCACTGGAATGTAGTCAGTCCAACTTACTACGTGCTGTTAGTGTAAAACATGCCCTGGGTTCCAAAGATTTTATGTGAAGAATAAGAATAGTAAATATCTCATAATTCATTTAACAATATTGACTATATGCTGAAATGATATTTTGGTTATCTTGGGTTAAATAAAATACATTATTAAAGTTAAATTTATTCTTCTACCTTTTTACACAGTTCCTAGAAAATTTTAAATTACATATGTGGTTGGCATTATATTTCTACTGGATAGAGCTGCCTTACACTTTTCAAACACAGAACAATCTCTCTCTGCCTCATAAATAATCCCACAGTGTCCTCACAGTGACAGAAACTCTCGACTTTCTCAGAAATACTAAAGTATAGCAACTACCATGCCTTGACCATTTGTTCTATGCTCTACTCTTGATGTGAATTATTCATTTAATTCTCACAGCAAGGCTCTGACTCAGCCCATTTTTCAGAAAAGAAAAACTAAAGCTGAGCAGAGAAGTTAGGTCACGTAGCCAAGGTCACATGGAGAGTAAGAGCAAGAGCAGAAGGCAGGAGAGGACAGCAGGACTGTGTGGCCACAAGTGTGTGAACCTAACCCCTTTCTCCATCTTCCTCACAGCCACAGCATTCCATGGCCCCCCTCCCATCACAGAGACCCCCAACATTCTCACAGTCTTAGAATCCCACCAGCTCCTCCCAGAATACAGAATGTGGTGTGGTCGCATCCCTAGAGACCCCCATTTCTCTCTCAGTTCATCCGTCTAGCCTGGATTTCCACATTGTTCTTGGTGAAGGCCAGGAATCTGATTGAGGGAGCCCTTTCCTTAGGCCCGGAGGTGGGCTCTTTACACTTCAGAATGTGGGTTGAATTAGTGGCAGGGTTGCCCCAGGTACAAGAGGTACACCTGGCTCAGGATGCAGGCAGTATTAGTGCTTGTGAGATTTGGGGGCCATGAGTCCCCTCCCAGGCCTGTCTCTGGTGTGATGTTAGGAACATAGGACCTCTGTCTTCTCTGTCGCTATGCAAATCTGATCAAGTCCCTTTTGTTTCAAGGACTCTCCATCCTCTGATCCCATTTACCTTTAGCATGAGAGTCAGCAAAGCACCTGCCTACCTCTCTCTAGGCTCATCTCCTAGTCACCCTCACGATCCAGTCTCAGGCCATATGAAAAAATATTTTAGACTAGCAATTTCCAAATAAACACATGGGCAGAATTCATTCATTTGTTCAACAATGCCAGCCAATACTGTACTATGGATACAGTGGTCAATCGGACAGATCCCTATTGTCCAAACTAAACATAATTAACACCCAGCTCTTGCTTATAAAAGCTCCTCAAGTGGAAGAGGGATTATTTCTACAGATTAATGACAAACCAGTCACCAAGGAATACTTTCAGAACACAAGTGAGGCAATATTATTTACATAATTCCAGACTACTTTGGGAAATTATTCCAAGCCTTCCGGTCAGAATTTAAGCTCCGCTCCACCAGGGGGCGCAAAGGACCACTTGCGCGGGTTTGGGCGGTGAGACGCCGCTCTAGGCTGCAGCCCGGGTCGGAGACGCATTTCCGCCGGCTCTGAGCGGGCGGGCTAGTCTGCTGGTCATCTCTTGCGGTCTCCTGAAATCCCCAGACATTCACATCTTCCTGCAGTGTCGGCTCTGTCTCCACTGCTGTCCGGCACTGCCGATCGCGGGGCCTGTGTGAGTCCACTGCAGGGAGAGCTGGACGCGTGGTCTGTGCCACCCCCAGTGACGTGATACTAAGGCCCGGGGGGGCGCGTAGAGCCCAGGCCCGGCTCCCGATTGCAGGACTGCCACCTCTTCCGGGTGTGGACCTTTTGGGGTTCGCGTCCTCGAGAAAGGGGCCTCAGGTCACAGGCTGGTGCGGGCGTCGGGTCGCCGTACTTACCCACTTCGTGGGGCAGCCTTGTGCCCGCTAACGGCCAGAAACCGGTCCCACGATGCTTGGGCACAAGATACCGCAGCGAGGCGTGCGGAGCCGCGTGTGATCCCGGGCCTGACGGATGCTAGGGCCCCCTGATTTTCACTGCCCCCACCCACCTCATACTCAAGGCATTTAATCCTTAAAGCCACTCATCAGTTGCCTACAAAGTGTCTCTATGACCCTTCCAGGGCCCCAGAATCTGTATTCCATCCCCTGTTCTGCGCTAAAGCCGCTTCCCCGTGCGTTTCTCTGCCTAGGCCTTGTGTCTTTGTAGCTCTTGGGGACAGATGACTCTCCCTCGGAAGGCTTTGCTTGCGGGCTCTGCACCAGCCGACGCCCCCTCCTCTCCTGCAGGACCCTGATCTGTGCTGCCGGATGCGCCCCCACTGTGTCCAGGGGCTGAGGCAGTCCCCTGGGTGAGTGCTGCTGCTCCTGAGCTCCTTGAACTCGGGGCTTGTTGCCTTCCTGCCCCACCGCAGAGGGCTGGTCCTGGAGCTCCGGTGGGCTCCACGAGTTGTCTTGAAAGGCCCTGATGCAGAAGGAGGCCTGTGTTGTAGATGGGGGTGGGCTTGGGGCCCAGAAAGGCCTGAGTTCAGATCCTGACTCAGCCCCTCAGCTGTAACTCTGGGTAAGTTTCTTTATTCTCCTGTCTTTACTCTGCTTCAGGTAGAGGAATTACAAGAACTCTAAGGGGACAGAGATCTTGTCTGTGTTTTAGTTTGTTTTTGAACCCACAATGCCTGGGACATCGTAGGTGTTCAGTACATATTTGTGGGGTAAATGAAACCATTGAGGCATTTTTGCCAAAAGTTGATCTTTCTGTGGACTCTCTTGATGAGGGAGGATGGAATGTATATGAAGTGATGATCATGTTCAGGCTCCTGAGCTTGGCTGGGTAGCTTTCTACTGCCTGGGCAGATGGTGGGTTAACAGGGGCTTTTCTTCCTGGCTCACCTTCTGCCCGTTTTAGCCCCTGTGTTTGAAAGTGATTGTGGGCTGCCCATGCCTGGGTCATTGATAGTGCAGGAAGAGTAATTACTGAAAGCGTTTCTCTGTTTGGAGGGCCCACCCCTTCTCCTTCCAAACCCTGGAGCTTTCTCAAACCTCCTACCTCCCACCACCTTTTAGGTGCCTCCTGACCTCTGGTGTCTTGTTTACTGAGTGCTCTCTGTGCCTGGCTCAGTGCTGGTTTCTGTGAAGCTTTAACAAAGAATGAGAGTGGTCCTGCCTAGGGAATGTGTGGGTTGGTTTTGGAGCCCCAGCTGTGGTCTTCTGACCCTGGTCTCCAATTTCATCTGCCTTGTGTCCTTTTCTGTCCCTGTGTTTGCAGTGATTACAGGCTGCCCTTGTCCTGGTAATGCAAGCAAAAGAAAAGTTGTAAAGTTTTCCTCAAGTTTAGAGGATCCATGCTTATTTCTTTCAAACGTGACAGCCTAAGGTGACTGGCAGTGACCCAGCATGAGGTAGACTGAGGATCAAGGGAGACAGGCTGTCAGTGCCTTTAATCCAAACCCAGATTTCCTAAGTGGCTTTCTGTTGATGAGCACATTGGTTTTCTGGACATGTAAGTGGTGCCAAGGAGAATCATGTGCTGGCTTCTTGTCCCCTGCAGGAGTATCACATGACTGCCATTCCTTGTGCGTTAGAGATGTCCTCAGGGAGAGCCTGGATTGTGAGGTCCCAGGTAAGTGGTGTCCTGTCTGTTTCTCTTGAGCTCAAGTTCTGTGAGGCTGCGCAGCCAGAAGTGTTTCGGTGATGAGGTGTGAGGGGTGAGAGTGCAGGCGAAGGCTGCTTCCCAGGGCTCCCAACTTTGTCCCCTTGGGCCAGCAGGCACAGGCCTGGGTCCTTCTCTGCTCCTGAGAGCCCCCGATGAAGGCTGCTGTGATGTCGAGAGGAAAACAGCAGTATGTTGGAATGGACAGCGGACTGCATTTTAGAGTCAAACCTGAATCATAATCGGTGGCGAGCTGAGTGCTCTTCTGTGCCTGATGAGAACCCTGTCAAATGTTCAATGTTGGTACCACTCATACCCCGTCTTTCAGAACCCAAGGATTCTCACTGTATCTGCTGTTAGTTCTCCCTTCAGCTCTTGGCAGGGACTGGTAAGCAATCTCTGAAAGTGAGGTGTGGCTTCTGAAATTTAGGTTGTAAATCTGGTCATTGACCTGTCTGCTGTTCTGTTCCCAGTTCAGGCCATTTCTCAGGCTGCTGGCAATGGCCTCCCTTCTTGGCTCACTCACTGCTCTTTGCTGTACCTGCATTCGAAAGTGATTGTGGGCTACTCGTGCCCTGGTCATTGATAGTGCAGGGAGAACAATTATTGGAAGCGTTTCCCCGTGTTTGGAGGGCCCATCCTGTCCCTTCCAAACTCTGGAGCTTTCATACACGTCTTTCCACCAGTTTGTGTTACTTCCTGGTACCTGTGGTTACTTCCTGGCGCTGTGCGTCTCATGGAGAGCCCCTTATGCTGAGCAGGACCCTGCCGGAGGGAGTTTATGTTTATGGACTGGTCACTTTCCCCCTAGGGCTCTCCTCCCCATCTCACCCCTTCCCACCTCCTCAGCCCCATCTCTCAGCACTAATCATACCTGGAAATTGTTGATTTGCTTGTCATGCCCCATGCTGTGATCTCCTTGAGGGCAGTTCCTCCATTTTGTTTCACATTATGCCATGTACCTGACATGTGACACTGAACAAAAAAAAAACAACAAAAAACGAGGAGATGGTGATGTGGAGATGACATGTTGTAAGGTGGTAGGGCTCATCCCGCTGTGGAGTGTCAGGGGAATGATGGCCTTGAGCAAGCCAACTTGCCCGGGCTGATGCTTTCCCTCTTCCCACTGGAAATGTTGTTTCTCTATTGAAAGATCTACTTATTATGGTCTACCTTTAGTCTTGGCGTGGGCAGGGCCTGTGGTCCACCGAGGGTGGTTTTCCTTCTGCCCTTAGATTAAGGGACAGGGACTAGAGTAGTAATGGAGCTGGGCCAAGCTCAGTATAGTCGAGGATATATATGTAAGCAGCCCTTACACTAGATGGGGCCTTCCCACCAGCTGGTACCCTTCCTGGTTCCTGCTAGTCACTGCCAGTGAGCCATGGCCCCCTCCTTGAGACCTGGCCTCGGCATCCTTTTAACATAGACTGGTTAGCAACATATTGGTCACAGTCGGCACATAGGATAACACGGATGGTACTCCTGACCACGGTGATCTGCAGACCTGTTCCCAGAGTTAAGTTGTTCTTGTTCCTAAGACAGCAGCGTGGTCTTTCAGGTACTCACAGAAACAGTCTGCATTTGTGGGTGCTGTAATCTGCGAGCCTCTTTGCCAAGTGTTCTCTTCCCCTAGGGCCAGCCCTGAGTACCCGATCATGGCTTGTCTCTTGCATATGGGTCTGTGTATGCAGAGGCACCGTGGGAAACGTCAGTCACCTTCATATCAACTGGGACGCTAGACCATGGGGCCTGGAGGTAAGATTTTGGGACCATTTTCTGGAATTTTGTTATTTTGTCTCTGTAAAGTCACTATGCATGTTCCCTCAGGCTTGGTTGGTCATATAAGGGGAAGGAGGGTAAAAGTGGCATTCTGTGAGTTCCCAGTTGTCCCTGCTGAGGGGCAGTTTCTCACATGCTTACAGGGGAGGGGCCTGTAGAAACTTACTTGGGTAAAGGGCTCCCCGGGGCATCTCCCTCTTAAGTGCTGGAGCGTCAGCTCTGTGCAGTGATGGAAGCACGTGGATTTAGACATCAGGGACGCCGGTCCCGCCTCTGAACCTGTCTAGCTCTGTGACCTAGTCTCAACCTCTGCTTCATCTGAAAAGCAAAGCTGGCATGGCATAGAAAATTTTTAAATTTTTTCTCATGGTCGTGTCATGACCACATAATCCCGATATTTTCCAGCCTAAAAGCATTTCCAGTTTTTTTATGCTGGAAGTATCTTGACTCCGTGGCAGGGAGGTTTTATGGGATCTTTGCAGGACCCAACAGAAGCTGCTGGGGCTCTGTGCTTGGCTGGGCCGCTGTCCCCAGCTCAAGTCATTCCCCTTTCCCCAGGCCCCTGGCACCAGCCTCCATCTTTCCTGGCTCTCTTTCTGTCCCTTTCTGCTCCTGCATTCGAAAGTGATCGTGGGCTGCCTGTGCCCTGGTCATTGATAGTGCAGGGAGAGGAATCGCTGAAAGGAGTTTTCCCCGTGTTTGAAGGGTCCAGCTGTCCCTTCCAAACCCTGGAGCTTTCACACACTAGCTTTTCTCTCCCGCCATTCCCTCAGAGCTTGGGCCTTTGCTGGCCCCCACGTGACATGGTGACGGGGCTAACCTCCTGACTTGTGCATTTCACTTTGTCTTTTCAAGTTAAGGATCCTCTCGTCAGAAACATTTATATTAGGACCTCACACTAGAGTAAATTCAGCTAGTGCCGAAGGGCATGGATGAGGATTATAAATCGTGGGCTCTGTTTTATGAATTCGTAGGAGTGGAGGATAACCCGCAATAATAACGTTATACAAGACAGCCGTGCCTTAACTGCTCATTTGTGTGTTGTCGTTGCTCCTTTACTCTTTTTTTTTTTTTTTCTATTTTCAACAATTACCCTTTACTCTTTCTTGAGCACAACTCGTATTGCTTCTCTAGGAACCATCAATAACATCGAATAAATAGAGAAAGAAAAATAAAGGTGGGGGCCAGATGTAGGGGCAAAGAGGGGTTCTATCAATTCTGAACCAGTAAAAAAGGTTTTCATGTCATAAACTACCAGGAGATTGAGTATTCTTGTCGGTCACTGAGCAGGGAAGAACACACTGACCGATCACCCTTCTTTTGCTGACTTTTAATCTGTGCTTTTGTGGGTTCTCTTTTGAAAAAGAGGAATCCCAGGGGTTTATTAGAGAAGAAATTCTCAGGTCTGTGGGTCTTTGAAATATCTATTTGTAGACTCAACACTCCCTAGCATGTATTCTGGTTCATGTTAGAATTTTGTGTTGCAGACAGGGCACCTAGATGTGTAGTGAGCCATCACCAGAGGGCTGACCTTCTGCCTTTTGTTCTGTGTGCTGTGTGTTCTGTGGGAGGCAGAAACCCGCGACAATGCTTTCACTTCATAGACTCAGAAGATGCAACGTGGTGCCCCTGAGAGGCATATCTTGGCCAAGGTGAAGTTGGAGGTAAGGGCAAGGTATCCATTTCATTGATCTCTACTTTTGGTCTGAGGGCTCCTGTTTGGTTCCCAGATCTTATTCTGTTGACATTCGGTTCTCTTGTCTTTGAGGTTGGGATCCTGTTTTGCCAGATGTTTTTGTTCTCGTCTCACGATGATGTGAATGTAGCGAGAATAATATATGTGAGCTTTCTGGTACAGACAGCCATCTAATTAACCTGAGATTTTCCTTGTCTTTCAAACCTACTTTCTGCCCCTTTTGCATCAGAGGCCCATAGCCTAGTTCCTGGGCTTGGGCTCCTCATCCAGGCTAGATGATTTAGTGGGCAGAGGTGACCGTTTTGAAAAGATAGTTTATTGCCGTCCCAACCCCAGACCTGGTAATTCAAACCTCTGGGTGTAGAGTCCTATGGATTGAGTTGGGGCTCACTTATGTAATGTTCTCAAGCTTTGATGATGTTTCTCATTTATCCTTTAAATGGGCCTGGTGGTCTTGATCTCCAAAGATATAGGTATCTAACAAGGCTGCTGTAAGTTTATCTTCCATTTGCCTTTCTTGCCTGGGTCTTTGCAGAATAGGATGACAGCTGTTGGGGTCTTGTGACAGGCTGGGCAGATAAGTAATGACAATATGGCGTGAGAGCTGCTGAGGATGATGGTCCATCCCTTTCATCAAGATGCATTGGGACCTCAGTGTCAGAGTCCCTGACAGTGAGCACTGAGCTGTCTTCTTGTGAATTACTCTATCTGTTCAGTTGCACTGATCACGAACTGCTTGAAAGAAAATCATTTCTTATGAAACCTGGACATTTAAGATGTATTCCCTTTATTACCTTTTCTATTCTGATAATATCTAGTTTGACGTGTGCGAACCGGGAGGTTGCGCTTGGCTGGTTGGGACCCTCTCACTGATGTCACTTGCGGAGTGCTGGGGCCTGAATGCGTCTACGCTTCCTCTCCCTTCTAGGTCAGCCTTAGGTTGGAGGCTGTTGAAGGAGGTCCCAAGGCCATGAATCAGTGACCCTTGGGATGATGTGGGACCTGCGTTTGCTATTATCTCTCCCCAAGGTGAGTTAATGCCAGGGGCTGGGAACCCTTAGCCAGAGGATAAGCTGGTTTGTGTTTATGGGAACTCCAAATCATTGGTTCCACTTTCCTTTCCTTTATATTCTTATGATGTTTGTGGACACCAGAGGGGCAGAGAATGGTGAGGGAGGTCCCTCGCATGAAGCATGAGCTTGTCTTCTCTGCCTGTTCAGAGCATCATGGAGGAACTCTTCACTCTGCACAAGAGATCAGAGGGAAAGCGCTGGCACTGGGGGCTTGGGGACTTCAACTGGCCCTGAGTCTTAACAGTACCCTCAGAGGGCCATGGACAGGGAAGGCCAGCCCCATGTCCCTCTGCCATGCCTGAAATGACTTTCATAACCTAGAGTTTTTCTCTTGAATTTTTAGCTGTGCATCACTTTCCTCTTCACCCACCGATTCAATGCACCTTACGAACTTGCTCTGTCTGCCTTTTAAATCAGTAACAAGCCATGTGCCAGCAAGGCTGAGCGTGGACAAAGTGGGTCACAGGCCAGATCTTGTTTTCACTCCTTGAGCCTTTCCTGTCACGCTCCTGAGGTTTGGCACATAGGCTACTGTTTGGAGTGTTTAGTTAGGATGAGGAAGTAAACAAGCGATGGTAGTTGGCTCTGATTTAGGACCCGTGAGAGTTGAGGAACAGTCAGGCCAAGGCTTAGGAAGGGTGGCTGGTGACATAGTGGACTCGAGTGAGACAGTGCTGATGTCATTGAGGAAGCTGGAGTGGCCTGGAGTTCTGGGGCCTGACTCATAAGTAAATGCTGCTGTGTGACTTACTGTCCTAGTTTGCCTGGGATTGAGGGGTTTCTCAGGTCATGGGACTGACCCCAGGCAAACTGGGATAAGTTGGTCAACTTATCTGGGATGTAAAATACCTGATGTCAACTTGAGAGGACAGGTTACTGAGTAAAGGTGAGAGCAGGGTGAACGTGGGGCAGCTGCCATTGGTGGACCTTGGATGGCGTCCTCAAGGTCAGGCTTTTAGAGATAACTGGAGTAAAATCAGGAACTGCCACCATGTGATGATGTGCCATGGATATGCACATGTGAACTTTTTAATCCCATTTTACAGCTAGAAGGGTCTACATGAGGAAATATGTCCCAAAGGCTATGATGAAAGGCTGAAGTTAATTGTCCAATTTCTGTATTTGAAACTGAAAACCACTTTGGCTGGGCTGAGGTAGAATTCAGGCTGTCAAGTCTGCCTTGATGAATTCGACACCTCAGTGGCCTTCACCGCAGGGGCGGGCATTCTTCATGGTCGTAATGTTCCACTCTGCCGGCCATTTCTCGGGAGAGGCATCCAGAAGTTGAAGTTTCTTTTTCTGCCTTGCCCTTCTCTTTAAGACCTACCCAAGGGCCATCCTCTGACTTCTTTTGCTGCTTTTAGTCAGCTGGTCATAACTGCCTGAAAAGATACCAAGATAAGGAATCTGGGCCCACTTGAGAAAGTTGCAACTGGTTTTTAACGTCTGCTCCTGTGGTTCAGACAGCAGCAGAAACGTGGGCCAATACTTAACAGGTCGGCCTGGAGACACCATGTCCTCAATCCTGCCTCGCTCCACTGCAGTATCTGAAGTAGGAGCTATCCCAGGTCTTCAGGACATCTGAGAAGAGCATTATAAGCAAGGTGTCCCAAGAACCAGGATTAAGGTCAAGGAGGCATGATCCTTGCCTGGAAACTGCTGGGTACCAGAAGGCCTGGTTGAGTAGCTAGTGGGAGATTCCATAGCAGGATCAAGAGTCAGGAGAATGGAGAGATGGACAGATTGAAAGTTCATTCATTAAAAAGAAATTAAGCTATTTATGAGCCAGACACCATGCTAGAAATAGGAGTATAATGGTAAATAAGACAGTTTGATCCCTCAAGGGCATCACCGATAAGTATATAATGTTTGTC